ACAACAACCACAACAACCACAACCACAACAAATACCACAACCACAACAATTACCACAACCAAACCAACCACAACCATAACATCCCCAATCAGAACCACAACAGCGACCACAGCCACCACCGCCAGAACGGCAACGGCAACCGCCACCGCAACGACAACGACAACATTAGCAACGCTAACAGCGGCAATGGCTTAGCAACGGCGTTAGCAGCTGCCACTGATGAGGACGACTACAGCAACAACATGCAGCTGATGTACTTTGCACTTTGATAGTGTTTGCCATCCTGCCATGAAGGAGGCATAGAAGCGTTGTTGTGACTGTACTTCTACGTGTGAAGTCTTGACTGCGTTGCAGAGCAAATAAGCAACCCTTCTTTTACGTTTCACTGGTACGATTCATGCAAAGGCCTTCTTTTTTCACATACAAGTGATGAGTGCCGGACTCTTGCGCTTTGCCCAATGTTTGTGTGTCTTTGCATGCGGCGGTTTCTTTTCCAATTGAGCTTTCCCAATACTTTCCCATCAGACTACAAAGAATGGCTTCCACAGATTTGAGGTGGATGCATTCACATGGTTGCTGTAGAGGAGATCATGCATCGCTGGATTTGACCTGAGCTACGACAGCAGCACCATCAAGACAAGCAATGCGGGTTTGCCTCCCAGCGCAGAATTTTGCCAAGGACCCCCTTCAAGGACACTGCCTATCCCCCTCGTATCTGAGCAGCGTGGTCTTGGGTCGAGTGCTTGTGGCTTGGCACGCGGACCTTTCGCTTGCAAGTTGAGATTCGTTCAATCCATCCCCAAAACCTGAGGCCACCCCTTCCATCAACTTAAAAGTGTGGCAACCAACTTGGGGGTTTGTTGACCCAAGACTCCTGAAAAGATGCATTTTGCAACCATCTGAACCATGTTGCTTTTCAACACCAACATAAAGGGATTTACAAGGCAATGTTTAGGTGTTTTCTTGTAAGGATCCCTGTTGAGACAGACTCGCGGCCAACTTTTCGGGAAACGGGAAAACCGCGGCTCGCCAGGCTCGCGCGCCGTGTGGCCCTACAGGTTTCGGCGCCCAGCAGCCGGCCGGCGGGACGAGTCTGGCCGCAGCTTCCCACGTCTTTTCAGGGATTCGCGGCTTTAAGTGGCCCAAATTTCTGGGAGTCTTTCTTGTTTTTGCTGGGCCCAAATTTTATTTTTTGGGAGCATGGGTGATGTCTAGAGAGAAGGATGGGTGGATGGGGAATCAACCCTGTAGAAAGATGGGGTAGGTGGCGACTGACACTGAGACTAATTACTCTGCAGATCAGCATGGAGCATTTGGAGCCATCCTTGTGAGAAGATCTCCTCTTGGGGACCCCTTGGTTGCCTGAGAGGGGCACTTGGCTAAGCAACATGTATGCCATTCTTGTCACTGCCCATTGCCTTGGGACGCCGCCACGAGATCGCAGCACAGTACCTTTGCTTGTTGAGCGTGCAAGAAGCCTGCCGGTTTTTGTTTTGGATCTCACTTCTCCGCCCGCCCAGAGTCATGGGAAGAGTTCATGTTTGTCTTTTTTGGCGGGAGATCCTTCTCGTTCTCCCCAAGCCAAGAACAGACTACCAGTCATTTTCTCACGGCTATGAATCTTGATGGGGAACCACCTCAAAAGCAGTTGGTGGACATAAAAATCGCCTACATGATGTCCACCAGAGGGTCCCCATTAGAACTCATACCCACATGAGTGCACAAACCGTTTTTGTCGCGTTGCCAACCTGTAGCAGTGATTGCTGACTGTGTTTCGTCAGTCCCAAGGTTTTTTTTTTTGGCGCTCGAATTTTCAGGTGGCCCTCTCTTGGTGGCTTGTATGTCTAGGGGTTTGAATCCCTGGTAGAAGGCAGATGGGAAACACACACCACTGAGCTTGGCAGTTCCCAGCCGTCCGGCTTCTTAGTTTCTTTTTTCATTTGGTTTGGTGGGGCGTTTCCATGTAACCCACTAAACATTGGTGGGGGATCAGAACACGGACAGTGAACGCGGGCCCAGGTCTGAGGCTGCAGTGCTTCCTTGTGAAAGCGCAGATGCCCCAGCTGGGGCATGCGAGAGCCGTTCGTGGATTCCAACATTCCAGGTGTGTTGGTTGGAATGATTCGGCCCCAAAATGAAGCCTAAGCTGCTCGTTTGATGTCAGGGAACATTTCAGGTTCTTGAACATGATGCCGAACCACAGCCAAAGTGCTCGTTTGATGTCAGGGATAATTTCAGGCTCTTGCATCAAGGGGGTATTTAGGATGCACCCTTGACATAATTTATTTGTGTTGCTGCGCATGCCAGCAGTGTGAAAGAGAGAGAGAGAGAGAGAGAGAGAAAGAGAACGTGTAATCATGAGCCATGCAACCGAAATGGCAACAAGTTCCAATCTCCATGTTCAGAAAACAAGTTGATCTTGAAAATAATCCACAGGTGCCAAAGCAGCTCCGACCAAAGAGCTTTGACGTTTTTTTTTTAGTGAAGCCCCAAAGACCCAGCGGCGTGGTTGGAGCGTGCCGAGCAGAGGCTCTTTATGTCACTCACCTCTTCCAGCTCCTATTCCTTGGCTTGCCCGTGGGCGTCTCTGCGCGGGCCTTGTGACTGTCCAGCCTTGGAGTTCCTAAACCTAAACAGGTGTTTCTGTTTTTAGGGGGGCCCTCATTTTTTTTTGGTGTCGAATGGTTGGAACAGCTCCTCAAACGGGACACGGATTCTGTAAATTGATGGGTTCGTGGTTGTAACTGAAATGCATTCGTGTGCTGGCGTGTGGGTGTAAAACAAGGGGCATGTTTGATCTTTTCTGGTCAGGAAACTAACTTGACAAGTTCGTTGTCTGTTTTTCCGGTGAGAAAAATGCACTTTCGGAGGAGGCGAAACCGTAAAAAAAGCAACGGTTTTTCGCACAGAAGTTCGTGTCAAGCATATGTCAGCGTGTCCCATGCCCCAAGTGGATTTTCAAGCGATCGCCGCGATTTTTTATTCGGAGAGCGGAGGCTGGGGACTGGTGGGGCGGCCTGGTCTTGCTGCTGCTCTTTGCGGCCTTGCGAGAAACCATCTCGCAGGGAAGCCCAGGGAGAGAGGTTTCGGCTTGGCCGTCTGATTTAGACCTTCCTTTTGGTTTTACTTTTCAGGTGAAGCCTTTTCGCTTTTTGCCTGTTGGTTTTCCTTTTGAACTAGATTTGTCGGTGTTCAACTTCTGGTTTTGGCTGCTCAACTAGTTGTCTTCAAGCGAGCGCCAACAACCGATGTACTGGGTAGCAAGGGCAATTGAAGCTTTGTAACCATGAGGATACCCTCCAAAAAGGCGCACACACACACACACACGTGTTTGGGGTTGCTTAGGGTACAGGGAACCGCTCATTCTGGAGGTTCTGGAGGTTCCTAATGAATGCTGCATGTCATGGGGGCTGGGGAGGGAGGGGGGTGGGGGAGGGAGCCCCCAAGAAGCCCCAAATAAGGCTCCCATGCCCCCATGAGTTTGGAGACGCCACGGAGCTGTCGGCCAATCTCCTGCCGCTGGTAGCGTGGCATTCTCCGTCGCACATGGGAGCTTTGATCATGGGAGTTTTGACCATACGTGGCACATGGGTTGTGAATCGGGGACCCCAAAGCCGGCAAGTGGCTTGGGTTTCCTGTTGGGCTCCTTTTGAGGTTCAACCAACAGGTACTCAAAAAAAAGGCGACACCGGCCCCACATAAGACTAGGCGAAGAGGCCAACACCCCACATGGGACTTGGGGTTTCGATTGAAATCCCAGGAGCCTTGAAGCGCGCAGATCTAAGGGTGGTGCTCTGCGTGCGGAAGCACCTGCTCTTCCCCGAAGTGCCCTGGTCTGGGCCTTGGCGCTGAAGAAACCGCCCGGGAAAAAAGGGACGAGAGGGGTGGATTCTTTTCGCGGTTGGACCCTTGAACATAGGTTTGTTTTAGGGTTTCCTTTGAGACCATCAAATGTTTTTTCAAGGTTGGGTTCCTTTAGAGTTTCCTTTGAGACCAAACAAGCTGAGACCAAGTGGTACTGTCAACAGAAAGGACCAGCCACCCCACATGCGAGGCGAAGTGGTGTGAAAATGGACCGTTGGATGCCGAAAAGCTCGAACTTCAGCAGGTTTCTGAGCATGTTGGCGCTTGCCGAGTGTTTGAGTGAGGGCGGACACCCCTGGCATTTGACAGACTTCCATTTTGTGGTCCAGGCGATTGCATGGAAGGTCCCGAACGGACTTCAGGACCCCTCAAGGCTTGGTTCCACCGGAGGCCTTCTGCGGGAGTTTCCGCTTTTGGTCTGAGGTGCTTAAAGACACATGGCAGGTGGTTAGTAAGCCTGGTGAAATAACCCACGAAGCCACGGTTACAAGTCTCCGTTCAGTGGCAGGCCTACTAACCACGTACCCTTGTAAACAAGGTACGGTGAGTTGTTTTGTGCGGCTTTGCGCCAAACAAGGGGTCACCTTCAAAAAAGACAGATCCATGTATCAAGTGTATATGGGTCAAGCTTCGTCACCAGGAATTGGACCGCAGTTAGAACCAGGAATGCCTGGACCATTCAGTTTGACAACGGCTTGCTCACTACCTTCCAACAAAAAGACAAAAAATACATCCATTTAGATAGAAACTTACCACCGACCTTCCTCCACCGTCCTTACTCCACCGTCCTTCCTCCACCATCCTTACTCACCGACCTTACTCCTTCCGCCCCGACGGTACCCGACGTACCCGGCGCCTCGCGTCGGGACGGGTCCCCCGTCCCTTGAGGTCGGCGCTGCCGGGGCCTCTGGTGGCGCTGGTTGCGGGCGCGGCCGTGGCCATCTTCACCTTGGCCCAGGCGCGCGGCTCGGCGCTCGGCGAGCTCGGCGAGCTCGGCGAGCTCGGCGAGCTCGGCGAGCCGAGCGCCGGGTGGCTGCCCGGTTGGGGTGGGACCCCCCCAAACCCTGGGGTGGGTGTGATCTGGTGGTTTCCTGGTTAAAAGAAAGAAAACAGGAAAAGAAGGAGGGGCGCACTCAAGCAAAAAATGGTGGGGTCACGGGGGTTGGACCCTTGGCGGTTGTAGAGATGCGGACGTGTTCCAGTTTTTTTGAGTCGCCAATGGGCTCCAGCATCTTGACACAGGCAGTATCACGCCCACGTCAGGATCCGATGGCCGCTTCATGTTTGGAATGCGGGACTTTGGGCATTGTAGAGATGCTAGGCAGCCAGACATATCTTTCTGCCCCTTCTTTTCCTGGCAAGATCACCGGGAGGTAAGGCGCTCACCACCATGAAGGTCCTTTGCATTGGTATTTCAGGGTTTTGGATGATTGTTAACATTGCAAAGATCTATTCGCTTTATATTTGTGTTTGTTGCATTCTTGCACAAGGGAGACTTGTACTCAGGTTATCTGCAATTGCCGGCTTGGATTGGTTTTGGGATTCGAAGCCCTGGTACTTGTTACCTAAGTTAGTGGGGACGCCCTTCCCCCAAGCTCCGAGCCATCAATCCAAGCCACCAATTGAGCCACAAAACCCGGGTAGATGAAGGTTAGTAAGGGACGATCCCCTTCCCATAAATAGCTGCGGATATCCGCCTTCTTAATCCTGTACATGGTTCTGGGATTACGACTATTTTAATACCCACATTCAGGTGCTGATTGCGACTCAATTGGAGGGAAGCTGATCTTCAGCTTGATTTGGATGGTCCGCGAGGCGCACTTTTACTGGCTGCTCTATGCGCACCACTGGGCAGTGTGTTATGTAGGCGCCTGGCTGGATGGAGGGATGGGCACTGAAGCAAAGGTGTATATACTGGGTGGGGACCCCGCAAAATTGCTGTTTTCCTTTCAGTTTTCCTTTAAAGCCAGCCAAAAAGGGTACCCTCAAAAAAGACACACTTATATATACATATATTTCTATATACATACATGTACACCTCAACTGTTCTGTGCTCTGCCATGGGATGCAGCGTCTATGTTTGTACGTGTACAATACATGGATAGTGCGATACACGTGCACTTGCACATATATATATATATATTCATGTACTGTAACGTATTGTAAGGTAATGCATATACACATATATACACATGTGCAAAGGTGTGCACATCTAACACATGTACATTACATAGATATGTACACATGTGCACGTCAATCGCATATGTCGTGCATCGCGAGATCGCTGGGAAGCTCCGTGACTTGGAGAGCTTGGAGTCAAACACCAACACCGTCTCCTGCTTGGGTTTTCAACTTTGGGGGGACAAAATTTGGGGATTCGAAACACCCCCTCCCAAGAACTTTTTTTTTCGTGCTTCCTTTGTTCCTTTTACTGCCGCCAGGGGGCAAGCGGCAAGCGAGGTATACACCCTTGTATATTGTGGCTATATCCCATTAAAAAAAGTAGTGGTTTGGGGGTAGTGGAAACCATCTTAGAGTTTGGCAAAGGGAACAGCAAAGGTCGAAGTTCTCAGCATTGCTTGCAAGGCACTGGGATGGAGGCTGGAGAGGGGCGCGCGGCAGTTCTTTGCCAGATTGGTCACTGGTCACTGGTCTCGTCTCACACGCAAGGCTCAGGAATCGCAGGTGCTTTTCCGCCTCATTTGGGCAAAAGAGTCTGTCTTTCTTTCCATTTGTCAGATCAAACTTTGTGCAGGTGGCTGAAGACTCAGACGTCACTGCGGGAGTTTTGCTGGGCATTTGGAGCTTGCTGCTGCTCGCAGCGCACGTGCCCGGGTTGCAAGCCAAGCGGGGCGATGGAGCAGGCAGTGTGCAGGGCGTAGTGGGCGCTGCGGCGCTGTGTAAGCGGAACCGGCTTTTTTTGAGGGCCGTTTTTGGGTTGTTGTAGAGGGACGCCCAAGCGAAATCCCTCACTTTTTTGGGGGTTCCTTCGTGTAGAGGTCCCCTCTGCAAAGTCAGAGGTTCGGTCTTATTTGCTTCGACCCAAAAACGAGGCGGACGGTTTTGAGGTCTAGACGTTGATATTGCGATCATCATACTCTAAGGGACACGTTTCGGTGCAACCTTTCAGGCGAGCATTTGGACACCTTGCGATCTTGCCCAGACAGCCGCTTCTTCCCGAATCCTGCTGCCGGTTTGGGTTCTTCTCCAGGGGGGTGTGTTTGATGGCTTGTATGGGGATGTGGCCCCCCTTTTTTTCTTTGGCATTTGGGAGTGTGAGTTGCGTGAGATCAAGAACTTGATACGTGGCATTGCAGTTGTCGCGCTTCGGATTTCGTGTCTGAGGTGTATTCCTTTCTGCTGTGGTCCGTGTGGATGAGGCGCAAACATGCTGAGGGATTTGTGTTCAGAAACATGATTGCTAGCTTTCTCTTCAATGCATCCCTCTTTGCCTGGAGGGCCGCAGTCAATCAAGGTGTGCCGAGCCTGGCGAAGCCTTTTGGGGTGATGTGAGGGGAAGTGATTTGGAGCTTCGACACACACACACACACACACTTTGCGCTTTGCGTGTGTCAAGTCTGCAATGCTTGCGCAGGCAAGTCAAAATGAACCGCAGGGCCCCGACGCAGAAGCAGGCAGGGATTGAGCTGGGTCTCAGGTGAACATATCGAGGGCTTCGCACTGCGGTCAGATTTTTGGTCTGGTTTCCCTTACCGCCAAGTCTGATGGCAGTTATCTTGGGGATGTCTTACTAAAGTGGAGCCAGTTGCAGGCTTTTCTTGATCCAGAGGGGCCAAGGAGAAAACGTCAGCTTGGAGCTTGGTGATTAGGCGACGCCTAAACATGATGGGGGACCAAAAGTTGGCGAGTCTTGACAAGAACAGCACGCCACAAGACCCTGTTGGGAAGCTCCAAAGGTGGCGGTACATTGATCTCAGGGAAAATTTGGTGAGCTCTTGCGGAATCAGAACCGCAGTCCAAGGGACTCCTTGCTTTGCAAATATCATGGCCCTTCCTTCCTTTTTTCCTTTTTTTTTGGGGTGGGGGAAGGGGGGGTGGTTCAGCAAAAAAACAGCACAACCCGGCGTCATCGTTGTTTTTTGGGCCGGGCGACATAAAAAGACAAACCACAAAAAGCACCCAAAAGACAAAACAAAGAAGACACAAAACGCAAAGCATCGTGCCAGGTGCAAGCCTTCAATGAGTTCAAGCGCTCCGCCAGCATGAATCTGGATGACCGGCGCCTGGGGCCCACCCTGGCCGCAGCCCTGGACCCGCGCAAATTCCACGTCGCCGTGTTCTCCAAAAGGGGTGTGACCTCAAGATGCGGCAAAGTCGCCTCACTTCTTGATTTTTGGGACCGCCCACGAAATGCCACTGTGTGTGAGGCTAGGACTCTCCGTGGGTCATGGGGTTTTTTGTTTGGAGCCGGGGTCGATTTGTTGAGTGACGGTTCCTGGAGTATCAAAGTCTCAGCCTCTGACCATCAACACCATATCCCAGGCCGCAGGGCCGATTCCTCCCCGGAAAATGCCGAGCAAGAAGGGGCCTCGCAGGGGTTCGAAGTAGCGCAGGAATTCGTCCATCCGCAGTGGGGATGGGCAGCTCGGGGACTTTTTTTCCTTTGACTCATGCCGCCGTGGGTCAAGAAAAGTAACCAGGAAAGGGGCCGCAGGTTTTTGGGTCCTTGGCAACCATTTGCCGGGGCAACGCATTTTGGGGTTCCCCTATTTTTGACAACCACGGCCACATGCTCCCCGCCTCCCCGTCAATTGCTTAAGCGGGCGGGCAAGCTCTTGGGCAACTGTCGCGAGGCGGTAGAAGTCTGTCGGGTATCAACCAAAACGACCAAACAAAACCACAACATTCAGAGGAGAGGTGCCAGAAATGTTTGTTTCTCGCGGATGTTTTGGTATCATGCGGGGCGATATTTACTCCCTGTTTCCGTGGGGATGGTTTGGGGACTGGATTTGGATTTGAGGTTTGGAGCACTGTCGTGTCGGCTCCAAGCCACGAATTGAAGCTGAGCAGAGGGTTTTGATGCAGAGGCGTGGATCATGAATTGGGGTTTTAAATCGGGGTTTTGAAAAAAGGAACTGCCCGCCTCGATTGCTCGGTGCTCAAGAACGGAGCTGCATCGCTCGGTCTAAGCTGGGCTTTCCCCTTCCGTGATCTTGGACCCATGGCTGACACCGCATTGCGCAGCCTTCACGTGCAGGCACGGGGCTTGCGAGACTTGATAAATAAACTCAATGAATCAACCTTCCCCCCACTTATTAATCAGAGGGGTCCTATTTCAGAGTGGATTCCTTTCTTCCAGGAAGGAAGCAACCAATTGGCACCTGGGGCTCTGAATCAGGAGTCGACCTTTCTTGTTCGCCACCAATGCAAATTTGGCGCGGGGCAGGCTTGGCCGAAACTTCTTCTTCTTTTTTTCCCGCAGCTTCTGCAACATTCAGAGTCCACAATTGTCCTGCCAATATTTCCTCTTGGCTGGTTCAAGGCAAGTTTCCCTTGGCAAACATGAAGTTTGAAGGAGACATTTCAGGACTCATCCCATCAGGTTGCAGAAGCCCCATGAGCCGAGGCGTTGGGGTCAAAGGAGGAAAGGAGCTTCGGGGCCGACAAATCGGATTTTCCCAATTTGGTTGGCCAGGACGCCACAAATGTGTACAGTCACATAGCCTAAACCCTAAACCCTAAACCTGAAACCCTAAACCCGGCACCCTAAACTCTAAACCTTAAACCCTAAACCCCAAACCCTGGTTTCCGGACGACTCGGCCTGGTCAGGTCGAGCGGATGACCCACTGCCCGGAGCTGCAGAAAGGTCGCGTCGCAGGCCTGGGAAGTGACAAACGTGAGTGCCAGAAAGCCCTTTGTTGGACGTTAGGGGAAGGGGTTGCTACTTCTGACCGTTTTTTTGCCACCAAAAACGCGCATGTCAGGCATCAGGCATTGAAAACACGGACAAATATATCCCAAGGCAAGCTCCGAGCCGTGTCACCCGATTGCCTTCCGTTTTTTTCGGCGAATGCAGGACGAAGCAACAGACCAGAGCTGGTTGGCATGGTACGTGCAGTGCTGGACGCCGCCGCGGCGATATTTCACTCTGCGAGTCTCGAGTCCCAGCAAAGGCGCGGTTGGGACAGCAACAAAGAGAACTCCAGCGGCCCGGCGTGCAACGCGCTCGGCTCGGAAGGCCACAAAGGCTGCGCTGAGAAAGGGAAGCTTTCAACGGACCGAGCGGAGCAGGCCGTGCAGGCTGCAGGCCTGGCACTGCGGCGACAGCTGCAGTCCGGGGCCGTACGCTACGCCTGGCGAGAGTTCGTCAGCGCCTTGCTCTATGTGGCGATCAATGTCAAAGGCAAGTCGGGAACGTGGCTCAGCTTTGTTAAAAGCTGGGTCTCGGCTTTGCCGAAGCCTTGCCAGTAGCTTCGGTTCATTTTAGGTCCTGGAAACCATAGATCAAGTTTTCCCAGCAAGCATGGATCCCGGAGAGGACCATTTAGAGGATCATTTTAGTAGAATGTTGTATCCAAGGGTCCTTCCTCTACAGAATATTTTAGTAGGATCCATTTGCGTGTATGTTGTTTTTTAGGTATCCTTCTCATTTAAAGGGAAATCGACACACTGCCCGGCTTCGTGGTTTGTCTCCATTGTACAGGGTCTTTTTTTAAATATATATATATATATATATATAAAAAGGGCACCCTCAAAATACTAGTTTTCCTTTTGGGTTCCTTTTCAAAAACCACAAAACCAAGGCGTACCCGGCGAAAACGACAACTCGCCCAGGTACCCCATGTCCCTTGATTTCCCTTAAAAGCCGCAGAAAAAAGGCAAGGGGTGCCAACTCCAAGGAAAAAGAAGCCGAGCCACTCATTTTCGCATCCTTGGCTCAGGTGGGAGGCCAAGTGCCGGCTGGCCGAGCTGCTCTACACGCTCTGCGGGCGCGACACCGACGGAGTCGGAGCAGCGTGCTGCGTGGCGAGTCAGGTGGCGCTGCAGGAGGCGCGGAGCTGAGCGGTTCTCGCGGTGGCGCGACGAAAGGGGAGACTTGCGCAACTTGCAAGTCTTTTTTTCTTCTTCTTTTTTTTTTTTCTTTTTCTCTCTTTGATCTTTCTGGGGGTTTGGCATTCTTGGGTGGTTTTTTTTTGGGGGTTTGATCATTCTTTTTGGGATCGATCCCTCTTTCTGAGGGTCTGTTGAAGGGGGGCCGGGGGGCGGTAGCTCAGTGATGATTTAGCCCCTCCTACACATGTGGAACAGGGAAATGCTTGGGTTGTAAAAACCAGACAACGGCTTTTTACATATCTTCGTTGCAGACCAATCTCGCTGCTCAGGGAAATAAGCTTTCGGGTATAAGAATGAATCAGAAAAGATTCCATTGAAGGCAGCCACCAGTTGGATGGTCTTTCTCGGGGTCAGACTCCACTTCTCATTCCCTTTATCTCTCGAACCAACCAGCGTCCTCTATAGGTGTCCTTTTCTTGGTTGTGTTGGTAGAAAACTAGATGGCGATTCCTGGCTTACCTGGTGGTTTAATTGTGTACCGGGGCCATATAGTTCAAAAGGACACCTATTAGGGCGTCCTCGCTCCGACGCCCGGTGTCGGGTCATTCTTCGATGTGTCGCAGTTTTCGTAGGTGGTGAGCCTGCTGAGCTTCTTACACAGGTCTTGGAAAGACCGAGCGCCGGCCAGGCGGGGGGTTGGGGACATTTTGGGGGTTCCCATTTTGATACACACCCGTATGGTTTTGAGTTCAAGTAGGGAACCACCGATCCGAAAGTGGTTGGTGGTTACCTGACTGCGAATTCTGATGTCCACTAAAGGGTCCACCATTCAAACTTACACCCTGGTATGTTTCAGCTTCTGCATTTGGCCTCTGTGACAAAACAGGGCCCAATTGGGTGGTCCTTTGAAAATGAGGGAGGGGGGTCGACATCCATTGGGGAGATCTCATGAGTTTGGGATGGTACATGGAGGCAATGAGTTTCAGTCTAACAAAACTCGTCTAGCTGGTTTCCAGGCAGCAAAAGACGTCGACACCTGAAACATTTTGTTTGGCGGCTGCATACATTCCCAAAGTCCATTGTAACCACCAATTGTCCCCAATTTGAACTTTTTAATGTCGACAGAGGATGAGTGAAACAGGGGATTAATAGTGGTCTGTTCCCACCCCCAAGAGTGATATGGGCGTGCGTCAAAATTAAGCCACCAGGGGACCGCAGGTTTTAGTCTTTGGTTCCATTTACCAGGGCAACCCATTTTGGGTACCTATTTTTGACCCACAGCCATATGACTCGACCAGAATGGGACAATAGAAATCAACATTCACCGAACCAAAAGCTCGCCAAAACCTCATAGGAGCATTTCAAAGGACACTTCTCTCACTTTGCAGAGCCCCAAGGTGCGCATTTGGCCCGCCTTCAACATCACGACCAGCCGATGATCTGACTTACATCATCCAAACACCTGTAAAACATGTTGTTCTAGGTCGTTTCGCGGGTGGGTTTGGACTTTGGACTACTCAAAAACGCCCCCCAGTTAGGAAATCAGGGGAGTCACAAGGAATCCCCACTATAATAGGGACCCCTGATTAATAACCGAAAGGGGGGGGGGGGCGGGGTTCTTAGGGTTCTTACAATTTTAGGCAACTTCAAAACACCCCAAGGATAACCTACTTCAAGCGGCCATCGGATACTTGGTAAGTGCTTAGTCAGCTTGGTTGCGGCCGCCTTCTCAATTCTTTACATGGTTCTGGGTAGACCATTTGAATACTGGGTTTTGATTGTGCAACCTCCCAGGCACGAGGAGGAGGGCGCCGTGCTGCTGCTGCAGATGCTGGCACAGCTGTGCGGCCGGGTGCACGAGACCTGCTTCCGGGTCGCCGAAGCCGGGCCCGAAGTGGGCGGGTTGGGCGGTTGGGTGCGGTTGGGTGTGGTTGGGTGTGGTTGGGTGTGGTTGGGTGTGGTTGGGTGTTGTTGGGTGTGGTTGGGTGTGGTTGGGTGTGGTTGGCTGCTACTTGGCTGTGGTTGTCAAAACCGTTTTGGGATTCCATTTTGGTTGGTAGGTGAATTCACCGCCCATTTTAGAACCTATTTTAGGGGGATTGGGATGTTCACTGGGGGTACGGGATTTTGACCCATGGCCACTTAAAGGGGCGATCGATCGGGTACCTCAGGTCAGTGGTTCGCATGTCTGGTGAGAATAACCCGCTTGTTTGAAGTTGTCAAAAGAAATGTAAGAACCCCCCA